TCGTGCAAAAACTAATTCATCCACCAAACAGATTTTTTACAGTGAACTAAAGAATATAAAACAGACACTTATTAATAATAGCTTTCCAAACTATATAGTTGATGAACAAATAAGATGCTTTCTTAGAAATCTCAATAATAAGCAAATTGTACATAATACTGCTTCTACTGATCTCAAATATATTAATCTCCTATATCGTAATCAAATGCATACTAATTATAAACAAGATGAACACATACTAAAAAAATTTAGTAAATTCTAATATATCAACTACAGATCCTAGCAAAAAAATTAAATTAATCATATACTACACTAAATCTAGTATATCCAACTTAATACTTCGCAATGATTCTTCTCCCCCGATTAGCGATTTGCAAAAAACCAACATAGTTTATAAATCAAAGTGCCCTTTGGGAGAGTGTATCTCCAACGAATTAAATAATATTTATGTTGGTCACACCACAAACTCGCTTTCACGACGCTTGACACTACATCTTAATGAAAACTCTAACATTTTTAGGCATTTAAAACAACATGCCTGCCCGCACACACAATTCCGTAAAATACTTGTCGAAAACACAACTATACTTCGACATGAAAACAATAGACAAAAACTAAAAATACTTGAAGCATTAGACATCAAACAGTTAAAACCCAACCTAAACAAAATCAACTATGGAATCTCTACAAATATTCTTAAATGTCTATAATTTCAATAATTGGTAACAGAAGCCATTGGTTTATACCAACGGCTTTCCTTATTTCATTCTCCAATTCACTCTCGTGTAGTCATGTGTGACGTCATGAGATGCGGTGCGATTTTCGCTTCTAGCGTCTTATATGCGCGTGTTCATCGTTGCTTAGTGATCCACTATGTAAACAAAACAATGACAGACTATATCATCACTGTCGTGTCCGTATATTGTTTGATATGTTTGTATTTACATCTTTGATAATGGCTTGAGTAAGCCGAAAGCTTAGATTTTATTAAAAAATAATGGATAAATATTGTGAATTTCTTTTTTCGGTTAATGATAATGTTATAAAACTTATCAGAAGATACGAAAAAATTTTACATAAAATAAATAGACAACACTTGTCTATATTATTTAATGAAACGTGTATAAATGAAAATATGCTGCCTAAATACACACAATTTAAATATATATATATATATATATATATATATATATATATATATATATAATAAATTCATCTTTTTCCAAGTTCTTGTTTCCATATGTAATGAAATTCATCACTATCTTGTTAGTACGCTTACTTTTTTATTTGTATCAGACAATTGCTACGTGCACGAATTTTGAAGTTGCATCGAACGGCGAGGAACGAATTTATATTTATTTTTAGTATTTATACACACACAAACATTCACACACACACACACACACACATATACATACATATATTTATATATATATTTTAAAAATCAAGAGGTCAGTTGAATCGGCTACCTTAAATATTTGAAGAACAAAGAGATATCACGGAATCCAAAGAACATTCTAAACCAGATATCCGGGTTCTTAAGACCGTGTTTACATATTAGAAAAAACCTTTTTTTCATCCAGCACATGAGCCTGGATGAAAAAAAAATTACATTTCAATTAACCGCCTACCGATAAATCATAATTATTATTATTATTATTATTATTATTATTGCTGTTGTTGTTGTTCTTCTTCTTTTGTTTTTTTTCAAACGTGTATTGTGTACTTTTAATACTTTTTATATATATATATATATATATATATATATATATATATATATATATATATATATTGAGAGAGAGAGGGGAGGGAGAGATAGAGACAGAGTTACATAGATATGGAAAAATTGAAACAGATAACATGATAGATATTAATAAATTAATATATATATATATATATATATAGAGAGAGAGAGAGAGATAGATAGATAGATAGATAGATAGATAGATAGATAGATAGATAGATAGATAGATAGATGAACGGATTGATATACATAGATAGATTCCAGTGAAAATGAATTTAGGAAGGGCCGGTGAAAAGATATCAGCCAGATCAATTCCCCAAATGAAAAATAACAAATTTTTAAAAGGATTTTGGTCAGATCGAGAACTTTTCAGCATTCAGTCGTAAAATCTCACAAATAAAGGGGTAGATAAAAACAAAATTGAAAAGTAAATCTGAGAATACGGGGAAACTTTATGAGCCAGAATTGCGTAAAGCATCATTGAATGTTGCAAAATAAAGATGATGATTTTAAGCGCGTCATCATCCGAGATAAAATTGTTCGGGGTTTCATGGACAAGAAAAAGAGAAGAAAGAAAATGAAAGCCTCTTTTTGTCAGCGAATTCGCTTCGTTTTTTTTTTTGTTTTTTTTTGTTTTAATTTTCATTGTGGGTTTTGGGTGGATTAAGCGAAGGCTTGAATAAATTCATCGGCCATTTTGAAAATGAAAAAGTAAATAAATGATGAAAGACATTAAAGGCATCGCAAAATGTAAATGAAAAAAGAAATGCTTCTCTTAAAATAAAACATTTCGTTGCAAAAAAAAAAGAAACGAAGACATTTTAATAATACAAATCCAAACAGAAATTTAATGGAACATACAAAAGTGCTTCGTGCTGTTGCATATTTGATTTTATTTTTGCGGTTCATGATTTGATATCATCGTAATTCGATCTTTATACCATTTAAGAACGGTGGCTGTGTGAAACGCACAAGTGATATTGCGGTCTGAATAGTTTTGTTATAGGAATGCATCAGCTAAAGCATCATCTTTCTTTTAACAGAAAGTCTAAGATCAAGGCGAGAATAATTGAATGATTGAGGACTGGAAAGAAGACATGAAAGTGGGAATAAAACAAGAATGGAATGGAGGCGTCAAAATGGTAATGAGAAAAGTAAAAGAATGAAAGAGAAAAAATATATGAGAACAAAGAAGGAAAATGAAAAAACGAAAAGAAAATTAAAAAAGAAAGATAAGGGTGAGAGAGAGAAAAATATTTTTGAAGATGAATGAAAATAAACAATGAAATACAAAAAAAAACGAAAGAAAAAAGAAATTATGAAAAAAAAGAACAGAAAAAAGTAAAGTAACAAACGTGAACAAACAAAAAAAAACAAAAAACAAAAAAGAAATGTAACAGAATGAATGAAAGAAAGAAATTAAAAAGTAAGAAATAATGCGGGAAAGGTGAACACAAAAGAGGAGATAAAGAAATACAACAAAATGAAAGAAAGAAAGAAATTAAATTAAAAAAACGGAAAGAACCAATGAAAGATAAAACGAAAGAAACACTAACAAATAAAAACAAGAAAAGATGGGAATAAATACAAGAGAATTAATGAAAAAGAAATTAAGAAAAATCCATAAAAAATAAAGAAAGGTGAACAGACATAAACACAAGAAAGGTTGAAAATATAATGAAGAAAAGAAAAAAATAAATGAAAAAAAAAAACATAAATGAGACCGAAACGAAAGAAACTAAAAAAATAAATGAAGAAAGAAGAAATGAAAAAAGAAATGAAAGAATGAGTAAATGAAAGAATGAATGAGAGAAATTCAGTGAGAAAATTAAGGAAACTATTTTGAAACAAAAATGAAATAATATTGTTAAAATATATACAAAAACAAGAAAGTAAGTAATACAAGAGAATGCGTGAAAGAAAATTAAGAAAAATGAAAGAAAGAAAGAAAAATGAAAGAAAAAGAAAGAAAAGGTGAATTAAATAAATGACAGAAATGAAGATAGATTGAAGGCTGAATAGAATAAGTAAAGAAAGAAAGAAATATAGAAGAAACAACTTAAATTAGGACAGAAATGAAAAAAAAATTATATATAATAATATATGAATGAATGATGAATGAAATAATATAAAGGAATAAACTAATGAAGTGATATAATTAGTAAAAAATGGCGTATCAAATGTACGAGATTCATGGAAGATTGAAGTTATCATAAACAGAGCATTTGCTTAAATACTTGTATCTATAAATAACAACGTTAAACATAAAAAAAATGTCTTTAATAAATAAATTGTCGGACCTTGTCCATTTCTTAATATATGACGTCATTTGTTTACATTTGATACGCCAGAGTAGTTATGAATGTACGAGATTCATGGAAGATTGAAGTTTATAAGCAGTAAATTCGAAAAGGTTCTTTGCAGCCCAGAGGTAAGGCACGTCAGCGTAAATCACGGTTCCGTATAGGATGCAGGTTCGAATCCTGTCAAAGAACGAATATTTTCTATGAAAATTTCTCGGACATTCAGGCCGGTAAATGTTATTTAATACTGTTTATCATAAACAGAGCATTTGCTTAAATACTTGTATCTATAAATAACAACGTTAAAACAAAAAAAATGTCTTTAATAAATATATATATATATATATATATATATATATATATATATATATATGGAGATGGTGTTGGGCAGAAAAGAAAAATTAATTCAAAAGATGATATTTTCAGACTGCCAAAAATATATGAAAGCACAAGCTAAACAAAATTTAAAAAGAAAGAAACAAATATAAGTAAGAAAGAATGGGAAGAATGGAAGTGAAGGGCATAGAAAGAAAGAAAAAAACAAAGAAAGAAAGAAAGAAAGAAAGCTTTAGTAGCGGAACTTAAAATAAAAACGAGAGAAAATGGTGTTGAAGAAAATGAAAAAGCTGAAACACAGTCGAAATTGAATGTAAACGTTTCAAGAAAGTGAAGCCAGTGGCTGGACGGAGCCTGGAAAAGAGACGTTGACGTAAAAGAACGATGAGCGGCTTTTAATAAGAAGCCGAAAAGGTGAGGAAAGCAAAAGAGAGAAATAAAAAGCGAATGATTTTCCTGATATGAATATGCAATTAGGTGGTTTTGATTAAGGAATTAACAATTTCGACATGATTCACCTCTTTGTTACCAGGCATTTGCAACGGCCACTTTTGTCATCTTTCTTGAATAGAACACTGTCAATCATTCAAACGAAGTTTACTTTCATTGCACACACAATGAACAGAATTTGTGAAGTGGGTCGGGCAGTGACCTTTTCAAATATATATTCAACCGTACGTAGATAGATAGTAATTTTGCAAGAAGTGTTAAACGTTATTTTTGTGGTGGAGACGCTTTGAGTGGCTCCCCCGTTTAATTATCTATTTAGGTTATAATTTATTTCGTGAAAACCAAAGAGTTCAACTCTTCAGATCGAAGTCTCCTACGTAAATCGTGAAAATACATCGAACGGACACATTAGATCGTAATACTCTTAATACTCCACAAACTTTTACTCTCGTATCTTTATTTTTGTTATTTTAATTTGAACTTTTCTTCACACTCTTAATCCTCTAAATTTATTTGTTCTACTCATCTATTTCAAATCCCCCCAATTGTATCTGACAATATGACTACCCCTGGTATTATTGGGATTTCAAATTATTATTGGGACTATTTCATGAAACCAACCACCAGTGAAACCCCTACATAAACGAATTTCCACAAATAAAGAAAAATCTAGGCCGGTCAGTTTGTTAAAGCTGACATCTAAAAATCACAAAATTATAGAATAAATTCTCGGCTGGATTAACCGACTACTACCAACCACTAATCCCTTAGCTCTTTCCTTTCCTTTTTTCACCTTCTCCCTTCTCTCCCCACTAGCAATCTAATGTGTCCGTCTGGTGTATTTTCTTCATTTACGGAGCATATTTCGATCTGAACTATAATTATAATCGAAATGGATAATTAAAATCTCCGTCTTTAATTTGCATTGTATATATATATATATATATATATATATATATATATATATATATATATATATATATATATGTCTAATCATATAATATCATACCATATCTATCTATCTGTCTCAGTCTGTTCATATCATACCATATCATATATATCTATATATCTAGCTGTCTATCCATCTCAGTATAATATCTATCTATCTATCTATCTATCTATCTATCTATCTATCTTTGCTGTTGCTGCTCTTAAAATTTGTTGATTTTAAAGATCATCTATATTATGTGTCCATCCAAAAATTAGTCTCAGGTTTTATGAGAGTTCCTCGGATCCCTGTTACTAAGCAAAGACAACACAGACGCCTTAATGAAAAGATTAATTTACACGTCAAAAAAGAATTAAAATTTTTAAGTAATTTCAATATTTTATGAAACTAATTGGATTTATTATACAAACCGCAATTTTGACATCTAAATTAATTCTTTATAATTTGATAAAAAATATTCAAAGCAAATTCAAGTTATTGAGGTTTATATAATTTGTATAATCACTTCAGATACACTGTATATATACAGTACATATACATACAGGGTAGTAACCCGTTGGTATATAACCCAACTGAAAACTATTAACACAATATTAAATATTAAATATTCAAACTGATTCACACATACAGCTCAATATTTTTTTTATAATAAACAGAGCAATATATTTCATACAATGAGAATTACGATATCATTATGCAGATAATTATTTTCACTTTGTAAAATTAAATTTATATTTATCCTCCCTTATCATTTTTTTTTTATATTTACCTTAATCTTCTTTTCTGATATATTTATTAATTTAATCCTCTTTAATTCTGAATTATCTGTTTCATATTTTGGGGTATATCTCTTATTATTTTAAATAATATTTGTTTTCTTCATTAGTTTTAAATGTTTATTGGACTATCTACTGTCTGATTTATACTGGTTATCATAAATTGGTCATTTCTTTCTCGCCTTTCCTTCTCCGCCCTCTCTTCCTTTCTCCTCTGACCACCACTCATATCGAAACTTCCTGTGTCTTTTACCGCCTGCTCTTCCGGTCTATTCTTCTTCTCTTAACCCTGTTTTTATTCCTTTCTTTCCTCCCCTTTGTCGGGTATTTTATTTCAATAATTGAACATCCATTGACTGCTTGAAAAATCTTGTAAATTTAATTTTACAAGGTGAAAATGATTATTTACTGTTGAAACTTGACTAATGCATGGAATAATAATGCAACACAAAATGTACTTAGAACAAAATGTATTGAAACAAGAAAGTGTACACAATATTTACATATAGTCTTTTGTATATTCCTGGTAAGACCGTTCCTGGAGAATGTGTTGACTTAGTCGCAGTTGGGCAGAGTATCTGGTTGAATCTCTTGATTCCTCCCTCTCTTCCCGGTACCAACCATATTTATATGGTCGGTACTCCACTATGCAAATTAGGTGGATCCTACCACGACATTTACATAATGGTATCTTAATTCCGATTTTTTGACCTTCACTTTTATAACCTCTCATACACGTGACAAACATAACGTTCGTCGGTGTTACATATGTTGGAAACTTTCATTTCCATGTGTACCAAAGCTTGTCGCAAAACTCGCACTAGTAAACTGCAGAACATTCTGTGCGTCTGCACCATCCTTTCCATATATATATATATATATATATATATATATATATATATATATATATATATATAGCCATGTACATAGTATTAGGCAGATATTAGTTGATAACACAATAATACTCACACATACACACAGTAAAAAGAATCTTGAGATACTATAGGCTATATACATTAAAACGAATCAACTCACGCTCAACAAAATTACATTTCAAACTAGTCGTAACACATTATATTGCATCTAGATATATGGTTCAGTTGCAATACTTCAATCTTTTGCGTGATATGACGTCATAGAACCGCATCTTGAACTATCGATCTGCGTCTGCTTTTCCGCGACCGCTAACGTCGCATAGCAATCTTCTATGTGAAAATAACAAAATATTATTTTTGATGATGGATATCTTTTTTTCACGTCTGTATAACGAATCTGAGGATGGCTCATGTGAGCCGAATGCTTACTACTACTGTACTGATGCGGCATTCACCCTGGGCGGATTGAGCCGGCTTCTTCCTGTTATGAGAAGCAGATTCTTGGGATAAATTACAGAAGTAGGGTACCCAGGCCTACTCGAATAACGTTCTTGCTTGCCGTGGGATTCCCATAGACGAAGAGACAGGAACGACCAGAAGCCGCCGGTTACCGATGCAGACGCTCCTTGGATTTTCACCAGAGCCCTTGTTAGCCGGCGTGTATGTCAGACCTGTCCGCCTTGGGTGGCCCTACCAGGAACGAAGTTCCGGGCGGCATAGCTCTAACACTACCGTTTACACCCCCCCACCGACTGTGAGGTAAGGGTTGGACTTTGGGGGCTTACAGTACCAGGTGTTCCCAAGCGGTCCCCCATCTAAGTATTGACCTGGCTCTACGATGCTTAACTTCGGTGATCGAACGAGAACCGGTGTTTTCAGCGTGATTTGACCGTAAGCCGAATGCTTAGGACCAACTTGATAAAAAACATTCTAAGGTTGGACAATTTTTGTGTTTATTTCCGCCAAAAATTAAAGCAAACCTTCGAACATTAGAACGGCTCATGATCAGACATAATTGACATTTATTGTCTGTTATATTTAATATATATATATATATATATATATATATATATATATATTTATATATATATATATATATATATATATATATATATGACGAAACGCGTCACAAGAAAATTTTTTCTACTTTGTTATACATTTTCCCCTAATATTCTATTTGATATATAAAATAGATATCGTTATCTCATATAGTTGTACGTATAAATATATGTATGTGTGTGTGCGTCAGCGGGTGTTCTTTCAGGTTGATTTAATTTTGAGGGCTGAAACATGACATATTTCTGTTAATATCTACACTCGTCATAATCTCAGCCTTTATGATCAACCATATTTGCAGCTTCTAATTCACTTCAGCATTAAATCTCTTCTGCGGACATGTTTTTCATATAAAGGGTGTTTCATTAAGACGGATCAAAGTGAGCAGTAAATAAATCAGTGTTATTGGTGAAAATGTATTTATTTCTCTATTGGCTCATGTTATTTACGTCATAGCACATATGTGAAAAATAATATCACCCAAATGTCCGCTAAGGCTTCGGCGGCACACCTCCAATCGATGGTCAAATTTTTTTGATGACGTCTCTGCATAGTTGCTCTTCGATCTCACCAATATGCCTTATTATCTCATTCTTCGGCTGTTGAATTATTGTTGGCTTGTTGGCATAGACCTTACTTTTAAGATGACCCCAAAGGAAGAAATCTAAAGGCGTCAAATCGCACGATCTTGGTGGTCAATTGATTTCGCTGTTTCGAGAGATGATGCGACCTGGGAACTTCTCGTTGCATTTCTGTTTAATCGTCTATTTCCGCAAAAGGCTTTGATAACTTTAACACGTTGCTTTCTTGTTAATCTTTCCAAGGACAAGTCTACCATTTGCGAATTGAATATTGCATCCATTTCTGGTTTAGCATTTTTTTCTTTATATACAGAGATTCTAGAAAGAATGCAGATAAGAATCAGCAATGTCATCAGTCCTGACGTGGCATCTCATTTTCCCATCGTCCTAACGTGTCATTCTCTTTTCTTTAAATATGTTTCACAGTACCTTGAATTCACAAAATTAAGCACAGAAAGAAATGAGTATATACCAAAAGTCAAGGGAAATATAACAACAACAACAACAATAATAATAATAATAATAAATCGAAATGTCAAAAATGTGGCACATGAGGGCATTAAGAATTCCAGTTGTATTTGGAGCCCTCGGATTGATTAGAAAAGATTCCAATAAACTCATTGAAGGAATCCCTGGGAGCCCATGCCTTATAGAAATACAAAAGAATTGTACTCATAAGTACAGCCCATACCTTACGAAGGGTTTTGTCTATGTAAAGTATATCCGGTTTCGTTTTTCAAAACTGCTCAGTGGAAAATGTCATGATGCCATTTCTGACCTTAGGTCTCTGGTCGGGACCCGGAAAGAAATGATTATAGATCAGAAACCAAAGAAAAGAAAATAATAAGAAGATATATCAGCCATGGACAATTTAGCTGTCCCTGTTGGTTCAACATCTTTGAATAGATCATAACATTAAGCGAATGGATGTCAAAACGAGAAAGCGTTTCACTTGCCACAGCATGCATCATTCTAAGTCTTATGTTAAACGCCTGTATGTACCCAGATCCGAATGAGGCAGACAATTATTTGAACTTTTACTGTTTTACAAACCCACGAGAATCACTCTTCAAAGATAGATGCAAACTACAGAGTATTGGGTGATGATCTGTGTCAAAGAACATGAAAGAAATAAGAGACTATTCATTAATAAATGAAGCCAGAAATTTCTAAATGGAATTTCAAGTGGGTGAAGAAGAGCAAATAAACCATAATACACCTAGTGTAGTTGTAAAGAACCTAAAAAAGAAAACAGAAACAAAAGCGATGTACCAAATGCAGAAACAATGGCAAGGTAAGCCTCTTCATGGTCAATAATCTGCCAGTACAAGTCTGGTAGCCAGAATAAGGAATAGAGAATCCGCAAATTTTGAAAAAGTTGATTTGGTGACATTGGAACTGGGCCAAAATCTATCGGTTCTGGATTGGATATATGAAAACGTGAAAAAGCATTGAAGCAAACCAGAACACAGCATTGTTAGACCCTATATGTAAATTGAGAAATGTACGAGATATTTGAGCAGACATCTTGTCACTTGATCTCCACTGATGTGAACATTCGAATATAATAATAATAATAATAATAATAATAATAATAATAATAAATTCAAAAGTTAATTTCAAGTGGGGGAAGAAGTGCAATACTCTGTCCGTACCAAAGAAGTTGAAGTAGACAAACCCCATACCGATCAGTGCTTACGTATTGCAGACCCCGTACCGATGCTGTGGTTACGTATTACGTATTTTATATAGAAAGTATAAAACTCTCGGTTTCAGCATTTAGCTTATATATTATATATATATAGGGTTATATATTTTCTATATAAAATCAATGGATACTAATTAGAAATTACCAAGCACGCATAATGAAAATTTGAGTTAAGCCGAAATGCGGATTTTGTTATAAAGACCCAGAAACAATTGAACGTCTTGTATCAAGTGGCACAGTGTTAATACCCACTGAATATAAAATTCGGCATTATTTATGGAAAATATGTCACTTTTACGGGAAGGAAACTGTAAGGAATCAGTATGAACCAACCAGACCCGGTTACGGAGATAGGATCAGTAAGAATTTTATGGGACAATACACAAAAACAGAACAATTATAGTTAGTCGCCCATAGATTTTGTGATCAAAGACCACAAAAGCAGACTATACTTTCTTATTGATATGGCAGTTCCTGAAGATCTTCAAAAAACTATTAAAATACAAGAATCTCGAAGTTGAAAAATCAAAATGTGACACATGTTGACATCAACAATTCCACTTATAACAATGTTCCGATCGACTCATTGAAGGGATTCTTGGTAAACCATACCTTAAAGAAATACAAAAAATGTACTCATAAGTACAGATCACACATTTATCTAAGTAAAAATGTTTGATTTTAGAATTTCTTTTGTTTTTGATTTTTACAAAAATGATCAGTGGAAAAATTAATGAATTTCTAACCTAAGGTCACTGGCTGGCACCCGGAAGGAAATGTGCATATAACAGAAATCAAATGAAATAATAATAATAATAATAATAATAATAATAATAATAATAATAAAATAATTAATTCTAAGATTTTATATTATTTCTCGAAAAAAAAAACTAATTGAAATAAATAAAATAATACAAATATATATACAAGGTGGGCTGGAAAGTGCATAGGTTGACTATGAAGGATTGACGCTAGAGCCGTGAAATGTTGCGAGTTAATTTAAACTTTTTTATATTAATAACTGAATAGTTTCTTTCCATGTAAACTGATATTTGAGTGTTCAAAGAAGATTTGAAATGTAATATGTCGCAACTTCACGTGAAAATGATAACAAGTGGTGTTATCATGTACCTGCAGAAAAAGGATTTGAGCCCTATGGATATTCATGCTGAAATGATTGCTACATTAGGGATGATATTCCAGCTTTATCAACAGTGAAAAGTGGGAAGTTGAATTTCCGAGGGGAAGGGAGAATCTTGAATATTACCTTGACGCCCTTTAACTGTCACCACCTTGGAAAACATTGATAGTGTTCAGCACATGCTAATGGATGACTGACTAAAAATCAAATAGTCAAGTTATTAGCATATCTCGTGAGACAAGAGAATATTTTGCACAATGAACTTGGCATGACGATGGTTTCTTTCCGGTGGATATCATTTCTTCTGACACCTGATCAAAATCCCACGGGCTGATCATATCACGTAAACATCTGAAATTGTTTGAGGGAGATCGAACTGATTTTCCAGAAACGATTCCTGACCCATGATGAGTGCTGGTTTCGTCACTTTGAGCCAGAGACAAAGAGACGTTCCATGCTTTGAAAACACTCTTCCACACTTACTCCAACAAAAGAAAAGGTTGTTTCATCCAATGGGAATGTAACGGTGTTATTCTTGGAGGATATAAAACGCATTGTGTTTATTGAATATTTTGAAAAGAACCATACCATCAATGGAGTTGGAGTCTACTATGCCAATTTGTTGAGGAAGTTACGAAGGACTCTCCAAACCAAACAGCCAGGAAAATTAAAGAAAGGAGCCATGTTTCATCAGGACAATGCTCCAACCCAGCGATGTAAGAAGAATGTTGATCACAAAGAAGACTGTCCATTAGAGAATCTTGGTCAGCCTGTGATCCTTTCAGCCAACCCTCGTCAAATAAGTAATATAAAAAACATAACTACTTACAACCCTAAGTATTAACCCTAAAAAAGTCATTTGGGCGATTTTCTTCCTCCTCTAAGGATTACTGACACATTTTTTTTTATTAATGCTGATTAGCAATGTCAACTGAATATTGTATTAAATATATTTTAAACTGTCTTCCTGTTTACATATATCATTAAGGAGAGAATAATACGACATGCAAGTTAAGTAAGGAGGGGGGTTATCAGTGATGATCTGCTGTTGACATTGAACTCTGTACACACGAGCATTCAAGACATATGTACATTGATCAAATATATGAAGAGAGGCTGACAACCGAAGCTGCAACAAGGTGAGATGGACAATGGGAAAGACTGGTCAGAAATCAGCACCACCTGATACTGATTAATATTTTATCTATCTATCTATCTATCTATATGTGCTTATATCTATCTGTCTACCTTCATCTGTTCACATTTTTAATTTTTTCATATCTATCTATGTATCTATCTATCTATCTTCGTTTGTTCATCTCTATCTCAATTTTCTCATGTCTGTCTATTTATATTTGCCTATATCTATGTATCTATCTTAATTTTCTCATACCTATCTATCTATCTATCTATCTATCTATCTATCTATCTATCTATCTATCTTCGTCTGTTCATATCTGTCTGTCTCAATTTGCTCTTATCTGTCTATCTAAATATTTTGTGCTAGATTTTTTAGATGTGTCTCATTATGCCAATCATTTTTTTTTTTAGTTGGCGACTTACATTTCGCATTTTTTTATCTGTTGTTATATTTTGTTGATTTTGATTGACATGATAATTACGGCTTATCAGCCTGTTGCAGATTATTTAAAGCCAGAAAATATTTTTAGATTGTAAGAATATCTTTTGGACATAATGATAATTTAGCTGACAAGGAAACCTGGCTTCATACCTTTTCCAAGTTTTTTTTACAGAAACTAAATCTAACGAACCCGACTGGAACTTGAGCTCGGCTCTTCCATCTCCGAATCCGAGCCGTTATCCACTAGACCTCCCAGAAATCCAATCTTACAAAACTCAAAAATGGTAAACCATCTAGGTACTGGTTAGGGCCGATGTTGCTTAATTTCGGTGATCGTTTGATAATCAGAGTTTCAAAATAATATGGCTGTAAGCTCGAATTATTATTGGCAATGATAATGGAGATATTTTCTGTTCTATAGTTTTTTCTTTCTTTCTTTTCTTAGACTAGTGGCCAAGCAAGTTTAGAGAATCCAGTTCAGCCCTATAGTTCGATTGAGTAAACATGGATTCATCCGTTTCCGAAGGTCAGGACTGCGAAAGTGAACACAGTCTGCTAGGCTGGGATTTGAACTCGCCATGACGATTCCACTTTCTACGCTGATAACAGATATACGACTTGCAACTCAATGGTTCCTATCGTTATCGATTTACATATGTTACTGGCGATAAGTACTTGTATAATCGTTCTGACGATAACCAGTTTTCTTTAATATTTTCTTTTCTCCGGACACTGAAGCTTTCGATAAAAATATTCGTAATCTGATTATAAATTTACAGTAGCCAACAAAAGATAAAAGAAGCGAAATGGTCCCCTTTTTTCTTGCTATAGACCTGTCAAAATCGGATTGATTTTTCATGACCCCCGTATCAGATATTCCTAAATCGCTGCTTTTGGCCCAACCCTCGCCAAACAGATTCTTATTGTTCAAAGAATTTAAGACACAAAATGTCCGTTTTCCACGCGTATACATAATACGCACGAATTTTCCACAAGCCATTTTCCCTTCTTCTCTAAACTCTCTTTCTTGCCTTCATCACTTTAACCGTAACAGCATAAGGCTATCTGCGTTATTTTTCAGACACCGTTGCAAGTTAATCAGCTTTACAAATCCTTCCAAACCTCCAGTCCAAGCCCGGATATCTATTAAGCGAACCTATTTTGATGAATTGCTTGTCAATACGCATGCGTCGCCTCTCTGTCGTTTTGCGAAGTGGTTTTCATTGAGCATTATTCCGAAGGGGATCTAACCCCGGAGATTTCAGTGACCGTTTTCCCCCTCTTTACGATAAAGATTGACTTGCTTGTTGTGAGAAATGGGGAAGGGGAAGAAATTGTCGTTTTGGTGGAAGCAGGCGTGGAAGAGAATCGGTTGATGCTGCCAGGACAAAACAGTAGAAAATCAGATGGACCATCTGTTACATGATGAAAATGAAATAACAAGTAAATCGTTAAGAAAAAAATGAAAAAATATAATGAAAGACATGTCAGTGGGTTTATTAAAAGAACAACATGGAACAAATAAGGACTAAAATGAGGAGACCATATAATATATATATATATATATATATGGAAATATATCAATATCCGTTATAGTGCTAAAATATTCAGTTGTATAAAATATATATATATATATATATATATATATATATATATATATATATATATATATATATATATATATATCATATGAGCGGTACTTAGTGGAAAGTGCTCAATATCTGCAATAGAGCTAACATGTTCATGAGTTTCTAATCCTGGGTTTCACGCTTTTGTGATCATCAGACAAACTTTACACCCCATATATATATATATATATATTTTCATGAATAAAAATGACAATAGGAAAACTAGTAATTGCTGACGCGTTTCGTCCAATGTGGACTTTGTCAAAGCAAATTTGCTTTGATAAAGTCCACATTGACGAAACGCATCAGCAATTACGAGTTTTCCTATTGTCATTTTTTATTCATGAATTTTGTCTTATCTACTGGTTAAATTAGAGAATTTTCATATATATATATATATATATATATATATATATATATATATATATATATATATATATGGGGTGCATAAATATCCTAATAAAATAATAATAATAATAATGAAGGAAAAAACAGGGGAAAAGCATATACATATATAGATGCGTTGTGCACATAGTAGTGTGTAAATATAACCAAGCTGAAATACAAACTTATGAATCTCCACACAGTTAAAAAAAAATATATATATATATATATATATATATATATATATATATATATATATATTGATAGTTGGTTGGTAGAAAACTGTATTCTTTTGATTTGTTGGGTTTGTCAGGAAGATCTAGTTTTTTATTTTGGAATATTTTATGAACTTTGTGTTTCGCATTGAATATAAAATAGTCTATTGAAGAAGCCTGAAACGCATATTTTAATGTATTTCTCCTCTTCACATAAATAATAAGGGCTACAAGTTCTGGGTGCTTTTTAGTAGAATCCGTTAAATTACTCTAATTTTATTTTGTTTTTATGATGGGAATCGAACTTTGAGATTTTTATTAATTGATTTTTGGTGGACACTAACATTTAAACTATTGTTAATGTAATGTTGTATGATATCTAGGAAAGGCTAATAAATGTTTTCTTTCTTTCGTATGTAAATTTTATTGTATGTTTGTTTAGTTGATCTACAAGATCAGGTAAATGTGAGACACAGTGGAGTAGTAGATAGCGGATCGAATTGAGGAATCGGAGAGCCGAGTTCGAATTCCAGTTGAATCCATTAGCTTAACTTACGTGCTCCAGATATGAATAAATAGCAGGACAGGCTGGATTCAACAAGTCTAGGAGAAGGACAACTGTGAATTCAAAACCTGCCTTTTTAGGGCATTAAGCCCTTCAAAATGTGTGGTTGGTTCTGCACAAAGCCTTCACCACTACAGTCAAATCATATTTGCCGGTGTCTGGTTGTCTCATCCTAGGAACTGGGCTGTTTCAACCTCATACGTCGAATACAACAAGAGAGTCCACTCTCTCTATAGATATTTCTATATCGAATCCTTTACGTGTTATTAATCCTCTTCTTCTCCCTCCATATATAGGTAAATAGCAGGACAGACTGGGTTCCCTAACTTTGGATGGCAACTGGTCTACGAGAAGGACAACTCTGAGTTCAAAACCTGCAGAGGGTCGTTTGGGGTCCTTGTGACACGTAGTGCACCATATCTCTGTATTCGGCCCTTCAAAAAGTGTGGTTGGTTCTGCACAAAGCCTTCACTACTATAATCAAATCATATGTGCTGGTGCCTGGGCTGTCAGTTCCTAGCAACTGAGCTGTTTGGCTCTTATACGTCGAATACGACGGAAGAGTCTAACATGTATATAAGAATGAAAGTAAAATAAAAAGAAAATGTGGGAGTCAAATGATCAGGAATGAAAAAGCGAATGAAATCAATGTTCATGATAGAGACGAATGCAAAAATAATGTTGGAAAAATAAAACTGAATTTTGATTGAAAGAAAACGATACAGAAATAGAAAATTGAATATTAAAGATTCAAACAGGCAACAAAAAACACAAAAAATGAGATCACTACGTAGATATTGGAGAGATAAAGCCAAAATATAGTGTTAAAAACAAAGAAAATTTGTGAGACGCAAAAAGACAAAAAAAAAAAAAAACGATCTAATATATTTTGAGAAAGACGTTATACGTTCGTCGAGAGAAGAATCATTAAAAAAAGACGGCCATGTGTGAAAATAAAAGTGAAAGTCAAAATTGAATTGGAAAAGAAAAATAGTAATAAAAACTAGCAAGGGCACGTGTTTCTGACAAGTGAGAATTTTAAGATAGGGCGATGTAACATTGGTGATGTCGGAGGGAAATGCAATAATTAAAAATGGAAAGGGCTAAGGGTGAAAGAACAAAGGAAGGAAAGCGCCAAGGAGAGAAAATGAGAGACAAAATGTATATAATTGCATCTATCTATCTATCTATCTATCTATCTATCTATCTATCTATCTATCTATCTTATCCCTTCTAATTTTTCAATCTCTCCTATCTATCTATCTATCTATCTATCTTAGTCTGTTCACGTCTGTTTGTCTATCCATCTCACTATATTCATATCTATCTATTTATCTATCTATGATATATATATATATATATATATATATATATATATATATATATATATATATATAACGAAATGGACAAAGTCCGACAATTATTTTAAGAATGTATAAACATAAAAATATCTTAATATATATATATATATATATGTGTGTGTGTGTGTGTGTGTGTTTGTGTGTGTGTGTGTGTGTGAAAATATATAGAAAATAGGAAGGAACTGGTTAGGTAAATAATCCAAAGTTCCTTAGTGTTTTAGTTATTATTTTTAAAAAAATAGTGCTCGATACAAAAATAGAGCATAAATATAATTATTTATTTAAAATATGATTCCAATTATGACATAAGAGGTCTCATGTTTCAAAACAAGAGCCGAAAACTTCAATATAACTATTTGAATTAAACTGAGTTAAAGTAAGCTCTGTTCCATCTTCAAGCGAAATTTTTTTGGGAATAACGTATTTCTGAAATTTACGTGTTTTAATATTTGAAATCAAAATTTCCATGGTAACAGCTAGGGCGAATTGTTTAAATTGGGTAGGCGAGTGTTGGGTGTTAATAATAAGTATCAGTATAGAGTTACTTTCATAGATGTCAAGTCAGGGAAAGGTGGGGGTGTCTAAATTTGAAACCGAAGATGTATTAACCCTCGTCTAGTTTGCGTGTCTATGGAGATTTATTTATTTTTTTTATTTTTTTTATGAAAGGGATTTGTGCATATAAAAAAAACTGTCGTAACGTTTGTTTTTTGACGACTTCATAGAGGGTTATCTTTTTTGTAGGGTATTTAAACTATTTATTTGGGCTATGGTTTGAATAATTAGCTAAAAACATGAATACAATATAACACCTTTCATAATCCATATATAAACAATTCGCCCTAGCAGTTACCATTTCGCTTGAAGATGGAACAGAGCTTAGTTTAACTCAATTTAATTTAAAAATTATATTGAAGTTTTCGGTTCTTGTTTTGAAACATGAGACTTCTTATGTCGCGATATGGAATCATATTTTTTAAATAAATAATTATATATATATATATATATATATATATATATATATATATATATATATATATATGTTAAATATATATATATATATATATATATATATATATATATATATAAATTCATATCTATCTCATTCTCCTCAATCTGTTCATGTTTGTCTATTTATGTATCAATCAATATATATATATATATATATGTTAATATTTGTTAATACGATTAACGTAATTTTACAGCCAAAAAAATCGTGGGTAGCAGCTCAAATACGTGCACCAACTAAAATTAACCTCCATAATATTAATAATTTATAGTGCTAATTGAGACTGAAACGTAGACCTCGAATGGAACTCGTACCTACTCTCTTAAGCTTTAACCGTAGTTCCTTATCAGTCATTTTCAAGGATATATATATATATATATATATATATATATATATATATATAATTATTTTCTTTTTAAAATAGTATTCTATCGCGACACAGAAATTTCTGTGTTTCAAAACTGAAACTAAATTTGTAAATTTATTTATAAAACTAAACTTTAAATCCAGAGTTTCGTTCAATTGTCAAGCGATGCTAGGAATACATTTCTAAGAAATTGACATAATTAATAAGCGCAGACAGTCTTAAAATTTTGAGTTGTTAAGGTTAAGCAAAATTCAATCTATTTTGATTAGGTGTGCTTGGGTTTTAATTTTTCCTGGACAACATATGTATTCAATATATGTTACTTATAAAGTCAGATTAAGTTTAGGTGGTGTAGGGGTGACTGCTCACAAATATAGACATCCGTTATTCAGCCTGTTGTCTTATCTTTCTTATTATTTTCATATATATATATATATATATATATATATATATATATATATATATATATATATATATATATATATATATATATATATATATATATTAAACAATAAAAAATATTAAAAATTAAAATCTTCAGACACACTGGGTTATAGATTAATATTCTTTCGTTTTTTTTTTATTATTATTTCATTTAGATTCCTCGACAAGTTTCAGCCAAAATGACCATCATCAGGATAATAAATATTTCTGCTTGCTGGTAGCAGTAAACTACAGAAATGAATGTCTTGATGGAGAAAATGAACTTTTGTCTGTAGTT